CAAATCCCACAGAGCAATGGTCAGGAGCCATTACCCCCCTTCCCTGCAGTCACCAAAGAATTTAGCTGATGAGCAAGAAATTGAAGGGATTCAGCGCTAATAAAAATATATGCTGAGCCCACAGCTTCATGGACTCATAGAAGGGCCTGGAAGAGGGCCTAGGAGTTTGGTCCCTTGGGACAGGTCCTGGACACAAACAACTAGCAATTAATTTCAGGTCTCCTAATCGTTTCATCTCAAGACAGCTCTGAATTTGCTTACATCAGCTGAGTTCCCAGGAGGCAGGAACAGTGACTGAGCCTCATGTGGGGAGAGGGAGATTTTTATCCCAGAAAAAAAGCCAAAGGAGGCATAAGATGGTTTCATCCCTTTCCCGGCCCACATTCCTGATTGAGAGCTTTCTTCTGACACTGGCAGGTCTCTCAGACCCTGGGTGGATCTCATGTGGCCGTGGTCACGGTGCAGCCGGCGGACTGCTGGCTAGTGCCCGCTGAAGAGTAAGGTTGGCAGTGGGAGATGGGTCAGACCCCAAGGATGGAGCTGGGAATGCTCCGAGGAAAAGCTTGTTTCACATCAAAGAAACAAAGAGATGCGACTAGAAGAGCTCTCGTCCCTCAGGAGGGCTGGACTAGGGTTGGAAGCAGGGCGTTGATCCCTTACAGACAGGAGGGCACCGTTCCTCACTGGATGCTGCGTTTAGCTCCAGGGAGGCAGCAAGGGACAGGCTGCAGATTGCCCTTGCTTCTTGCTCTTAAGTTTCACAGAATTTCTCACTTGCAGCCATTTCTCCAGCATCTAAGGAAGTGGGGGTTTGTTTCCTCTCTAAGCTTGCTGCAGATAATACAGTCTGCTTCCCTGCATCCAGGATCTGGATCCTTGTTAGATGCAAATCCCCACAATTAGAAGTCCGCACACAGCACCAGTTGCGGTAGCATTAGGTTAATCCATCCTTCAGTGCTTTGCAGTCCTCTGCCCACAAGTCCTACGGGCATCAAGAGCCACGTCCCTAAGTAGCTGTTTTGTCTCACACAAAGAAAATAAGCTTCTGCAGCTGAAGCAGTCTTTAAGCCTATTTTACTTGCAGAAATTAGGGGATAATAGATGACCCATTTCCCTGGAAATAAACCTAGCATTTTCTCAGCTGCTGCACAAGTGTCTGAGAGCTTGGGGTCCTGTGTATTGTTCATCATGTTGTGTGTGTGTGTGTGTCCCACTGCCACCTCCCACCCACAAGAGGAACAGAGCTTAGCAGAGCTCAGAAAAAAAATACCAAGCATCAGATAATTCAGAGTAAAGCATCCAGCCACGTCTCCCTGTCTCTTTTCTGACAGCAGATGGATTTACTTCTAAAGCACTAGAGGAGAAGCAGTGGTCAGCTATTCTGCGCCCTGACCCAGAGACAGTATTCGACTGCACCTCTTGGAGCTGCACAGAAACACCGAGGAGGAGAGCTGCCAGGGTTCACAGCATGCATGGGGCATCACATCTCATGCTTCAGCACTTACCAGAGAGCTGGGGGCTATGTCCGTCAGGGCAAGGCTTCTACAGACACATCCCTACAAGAGGCATTTTTACAGGCAAGAGAACGACTTAAACACAGGAGGAACCCACAGGGCTGAGGCAGGAGGCCCAGAGTCACCCTGGCAGGTACAGCAATGAGGGCAAAAGGAAGCAGCAAAAAACACAGGAAAGGAAAGGAAAACAAGCCAGCAAAGGAGGGAGGGAGGGCCCTGGCACAGGGCAGGAGGTTTTAAGCACATTCAGCCAGGAGCAGTCTACTCTGGAGAATCAATTATGGGAAGATAATTTGTCTGCTTGATTAAGGCCTCCTTGGGGTATTGGCTTGTTGCTGGGGAGAGCAGCAGAAGGTACCAGCTCTGGTCAGAGCACAATCCGTGCGTTATTACTGCGGTCCCTGCATAGCAGTCAGCTGGAGGGGAGGCTGAATGGGCAGAGCCAGGCAAGCACACTGCTTTCGTCCTTCTGACATTTCCCCTCACTTATCACTGTCTGCACTCGGAGCCAAGTCACTCGAAAGGGGACCCCAGGAGCCCTTCAAGCTTGCCCCCTGTTAAGAAATCTGCTGTTGCGGAGGGAGCAGGACAGCCGGCACCTGAATGCTGCAGCCCACAGAGCGCGTGGTGCCGGCTCAGCCATGCCCTCCAGTGGTCCCCACTCCAGCCTGGTAGCTCTAAGGCTTGTTCCTTGTAGCTTTGCAATAGGGAGGTCAGAGGAGGCTTTGCAGAGACTCAGATGAGGCTGGGGGCCGGGGAGGGGGGAAGGTGTCCCTATGCCTATGTCTCCTTTCTGTCCCTGAAAGGATCTGCCATGGGTTGACAGCACTGGGGAAGAGAATTTCCAGGAGCCACAGCCTGCATTTGCACAAAAGAGGCACTGAAGTAATTATGGGCTTGCTTATCCTGTATCCCCTCACACCCCCGAAGTCTTACTCTAAACCAATACAGGCCAGAGGAGGCTTCTGTCTCCTTGCTGGTGCCAGCCCCTGCTAGCTTTAGTGGACTATTTCCCCTGTGCTGTCAGGTTTACACTCAAGATCCGTTTCTCCTTACTTAATCTGACCAATATGAATGCACACCTCCACTGTGCATTTGGTGCTGTGTTTTGCTGGAACAACAAGTACTCCATATCAAACAGCCGGACAAATATCTAGCACAGCTAAAGGGATAACGTTGTGCCAGGGAAGACCTGAGACTCTGCCAGCTTTGAGGCCAGTCCTAGATAGATTTTATACAAGTTGAACCCTCTTTTGTGGTAGACTGTGCTACAACACTGGTTGGTGACAAACTACAAAAAAAAAAAACACCACACATTGTTCGTACAAGAGAGTCGAAGAAATACAGGTCCCAGGCAACCTGGGCTGATACCAAGCATCCCTTGGATTAGCAGGAAAGGAGAGGCTGCCCCAGTGCCATCCGGACTGCAGCATGCACAGCTCACAACTCCTGCTGCTGTTACAGCAGCGAAGAGAACTGCGCTGCTGCTATGAGCAGTGTGGTTGATTAATTCTTCACAATCCTCTCTCTGGGACCCTGATATTGGAGAGATATCAAGTACCATATTCAAGTGAAGCCCTTTGGAGAGCTCACTTGTGTGCTTTCAGACCAATTATACCTCACCAGTACATCGGTCTCTGCTGTTTGACAGTACAGACAAGCACTGCTCACTTTGCCCCTCCTGTGATCCACTGAGGAGTAGTCTGGGTCATGTCAAGTGTAAACATTAAGTAATACGTAAGGCTCTTTTAAACCTTTAGGTCTAAATATAAGTTATTCCATACTGTTAGTAACTCTCTACCGTGAAGGCTCATTAGCTCAAATGTATGCTTGCCGATACAGCCTCAGCCTTGCACAGTGAATTCCCACAGGAAGCACAAGGACACGGAGAAGTAGCTTCAACAAAGTGCTGCTAACCCCAGAGCAGGAATTTGTGGGCTTGAGAATCAACAGGGCAGGCCATGAGGTCGTTCCACCTCACGCTTCTCCAAGGAAGCACAGCTACAGGTTTGCCAGTGTTGAGCGCGTCCGTGAAGGGCTGTCGCCTGTGTTGATGCACATTTATTCACTTGTGTTTTCACATGCTCCTATGGGATTATTAAGGGCTGAAATTTCCAGGATGCCATGAACGGCCTATGCAAAGCAAAGCTATAGATGCAGCATCATGTCCTCTCCACAAGTGCAGAAAGGCCTGGCAGCACTACGGCTCCTAGGGACATTCTCACCTGCCACGGGAGCTCCTGCGCTGCTGCAGCCTCCTCCAAGGAAATTGCATGTCCTCACACACCCACTGCTCCCAGGGCCTGGCTGTGCCACAGGTGCGCAGGACACTACAGAGAGCCAGATAGGAAGAGTGGGGACCTTCGGGTTGGTGGTTAATTCTGAACCAACCCAGCTCCTCCCAAGCTCAGCGAGGCACTTAGAGACCCACTGAGCACGTGATTAATGACACTAGTGGGGGTCCTACTATAGGGCTCCCATACCCTTAAAGCTAGATGTGTCTGAAAGGACAGCAAGACTAATATCATTTACACTAAGGGATTGAGTTCTCATATATTACACATTTCTACTCAGTCTTGCAACATATCCCCACCAGCTCCTACAGCCCCACAGCTCCCACTTCTCACAGCAGTCTCGCAAAGCCACAGTCCATCATAAAAATCCACATCCCACTGCCTTTGCACACCCAGCAGTCCCAGAGCACAGCTTTGTCTGCTGTACAGCTTACCTACCTCCTCCTCACTCCACTTACCAAGCAGACAGCAAAAGAAATGACTGAAAGCATCACTCCAGATTTCTTTTAGCACCCTTACACCTTCCCTGCCTCCTCACAGCTGCAGCAGATCCCAGATGATCTGCTGACCACAGAGACCCAAATAAGCAGCCACTGGTACTGCTTACTAAGTGCTGCTTGGGAAGGCTTTTAAAGGGACATGCAGTGAATCCACTCCTGGAGTGCAGTTTGCCTATAGATTGTTTTCCAGATAAAATATTCATTTCTTAGCCTTTTAACACTGCTCTTCTCTGTAGTAGCCCTGCAGCACAGTCTGTTTGGAACAGACCTTGGGGTTCACCTGAAGAGGTGGCACACAAACAGCCCACACACAGCCCAAACCAGTGCACTTGGAAAGTTTGCTTGCCTTGGTTTTTTCTGCTTTCCATACATGAGCATCTGTACATGCACAGACAGACAAAACCTTTGAAATGTGCTAGTGGAGGACACTTTAGCATCCTGTGTTTAGCCAGTTCTGGCAAAGTATGTGTAAGTGCTGAGAATATACAGGAAAGCCCCAGGACAGTCTGCCCAGAGGCAAGCTGCAAACCTTGTGCTTGTTTCCCAAATGAGCTCCATTAACCCTTTGCTTAATGTTTGAGCCCATGTTCTTAATGAGTTCTCCCCTCTCCCAAGTGATCCATCACTTGGTCGAGAGATGGATGAGAGTGGTCGCCTTAATGATCTCTCTCACTACCCCTTTTCATCATTAGCCTGAAGACCAGCCTGCAGAAGAAGGTGAGCCAGGACTCCATGGATTTGTCAGGGATCCCCCTGACCATGCGGGATGTTCACCGTATGGCCTACTACCTGCAGAACAATGGGGACCATCTCACCTCTGTGGACCTGAGCTTCACCGAGCTGAACGATGAGATGGTGCGCCTGCTGCTGCCCTTCCTCTGGGCACTACCCAAGCTCACTCACCTTTCCCTCAACGGCAACCGGCTGACGCGGGCAACCATGAAGGAGCTGACTGACACCATGAAGGACATGAACAAGTTCCCTTGCCTGGCCTGGGTTGACCTCGGCAACAACGTGGACGTCTCCTCCATGCCACAGCCATTGCTCGTGGGCCTGCGCAAGCGCCTCAGCCAGCAGACCACGCTGCCTACCATCTATGAGGCGCTCGACTGCGACTCGGAGATCTCCAGCGGGCACGAGGGCAGCCAGCCAGAGGATGAAGCAGCAGGGAGCACCCCGCCACGTGCTCTCTCTCAGCAGGGCTGCGAGAGGTGACTGGACAACAGCCTGGCACGGGCACACTGAAGCCGCCCCAAGGAGAAGTCTTGAGTACAAACATCAAGCAGAGGGCCAGCTTTACCAGCTTCCTTTGGCTCTTTTCCCTCACCTTCCCTACATCTCCCCCCCACTTGCTGTGAGACAAAAGCCTGTCGTCCCCCACAATGTGCTCCAAACCCTCCCCTCACTGCCAAACCCATCGCCCACGTTCCAGAGAGGAACCAGTGACTTACAGTGAACCTTGTCCCCAGGCAGGGTCTCACTGGAAGACGGGAAAAGACCTGTCGGAGTCAAGAATATCCTCCAGCAGCCATTGGGTTGAGGGAAAGGGATGGGGGGGAACCTAAAACAGAAACAGGCTTGTAGTTTACTTCCTTTCTTCCTTTTCCTATGCACCTTGGAAACCTTGGGACCTGCAGCCTTGAGTGTGAAAGGAGATATCCCAAGAGCCTAGCTGGTGTGGAGCTTAGTCAAAGGGCTCAGAGACCAGAGCAGTGTGTCTCCCTCTTGTGTCTGGCTCCTTTTGTTTTGTTTTTTTTTTTTCCTATTGTGTGTTTTGTATTAATGTCTGAACAAAGGGCCTTGGTCAGAGACCATTGGATCGCATAGGCTGGGGCGGACACATGGCTTGGAACTGCAGCATCAGGATATTTGCTGTGTGACCGGGGTGAGAGGGAGGGGAAGGAGGTATGTGTTGGGGGGAGCATGGGGGATGGGATGAGTTGGGATGGGATGGGAGGAGAGGGAGGGGGAACAGTCTTGTGCATTAGCAGGATTGGTTTCAAAAACTGTGCTTTTGTATTAAAATTACAAGTTCCAAGTGAAATTGCGGAAAAGCAGACAGCTAAGCGCATAACTGTGGCACTACAGGAGCAAGCAGTGAACGTGCCAGAGGTGGGCACTTCGCAAACTAAAGCGCAAAGCTTTGGCTCCTCATGGCACATTGTATACCTCGTAATACAGACACGACATGAGCAGCTGCATCGCCATTTCCAATGCTGTCCAAAACCAAACCACTGATGAAATATTTCTAGTGTTTTCCACATTGCTCATGCTCTGTGTAAACATAATAAACGGTTCTCTTGGACATGAGCGTGAAGCACTTCGGAGTCTGAGTATCTAGGTTGTTCACAAACAGACCCAGCAGCCCAGACGCTGCAAGAGCATGGAGCAGGAACCCTCACGCAGTGCCTGAGCAGCGCGGGAGAGGATCGGGAGGCACCATTCACATCGGTAAGAGCGGCTCATTCCTCGAAGGGAAGTGAAACGCGGGTGTTCATTTGTGGTAGGCTGCCACCCTTCGTGTTGAGAAGTGCTGATACAAATAAATTGATCAGACTTTAGCTGAGAACTCTTCTCAGTTACCTGTCCCCACAGGAATTCAGGCAGCAGATGTGTTTTTAAAGAGTTAAAAGTTAAAGAATTCAGACATATTAAAAAACAAATCCTGGCCCTCCTAAGTTAACAATGGTAACTTTGCCTTCCTCTGCTGATACTCTCTGGGAGTCTCAACACATATAAGCAACTCTCATATACTAAGCCACACAAACGCACATGAAATAGATACACCTTTCATGCTCCTTGCTGGTTTGACAAGACATTGCAAGAAGCAAATCAGTGATATTTTTGAAGTGATTTGTCCCCTTTGGACCAAGGGTGTGAGGGCACTGGATGGTGTCGGTGTCTCTAATCAGCTGCCAAAAGCCCCAAATAAATCAGTCCCCTGAGGAAGAAAGCTGGGTTTAGAGACACTGTGCTGAATATCACAACCTGACACCGCGAGTGCTGGACCCAGTCCTTGTTCTCACTCTGGTCACTGGAGCAGGAACTCGTAACCTTCATGTTGTTACCTTGCAAACAGAAGTGTTGTAAAGTCTCTGTCCTGCTGACCAAAAAGAACAGAAGATACAACAAGGTAAAGCAAATATGGCTAGGGCCAGGTGCTAGCTGCCCCATCCCAGTGGAGGTGGAAGAGAGGAAAGGCCCTGAGGTGGCCAGAATATTATGACGTTTGGCCAGGAAGATCGGGAGCGGGGAGTGCAAATGTGGCCAAGCCCCAGCACAACCCAAGGTGGGAAGGAAGCATGTGCTCCCCTGCACAGCTGTCACCCAGATCCACTTTTTAGCCCTTCAAGTGAGTCAGGAGAAGTGGAGTCATTGCTGTGGCAATGACTGTATTTGGGGAGCGTGAGATTGTTTTGCAAAAGGCAAATAGAGCTGCTCAAGTGGCCGTTCCCATTGCTGGGGGAAGGGCTGCACTGCTTCTGGAGGTCACTGCCTGCTGCTCTTTTCACCACTCGTTTTTCCCTGCTTGGTGTGGTATCTGTTTCCTCCTCTGCTGCGGAAGAGATGGAATTAATTTTTGCTTTTTCTACTTTTTCTTCCAAAGTACCTTTCAGCAAAAATGAAAAGCATTTCAAATGCCAGCAAGATCTGCCTAAACTCTTGCAGTCTAAGCAGAGCAGCACTCTGTGCCAAGAAGAAAACTCGGGCATGAAGCATTTAAATGAAGGCTTGGAGCCGCCTGGTGAGTCAGTGGCATCTCTAGAAAGAGGGAGCAGGGGTGCTGAGCATTCGGTCTCTGGCTCCGAGCACCATCTCTGTGAAGCTCTGCATTAAGGTGTCTTCACAGCTTTTCCACAACAGTGGCAGCACCCCCCCAAAATGAAGCAAGACCCCCAGTGTGCAGCCCACCGCTGATGCAGCTCTTCCCTGCAGAGCCCCTGGCCCAGCCCCAGGGAGGATCTGTGCAGTTCCAGCCCTGCTGAAAGTCGTGGGTTTTGTCTGAGCTGCGCTAACCAGCAGGGTGGAGATGAGACCTTCAGCCTCTTGCAAGGGAATTCTGTGCTAATCACTGGCGATGCCTGGCTGCCAGTTGGCAACTCCAGGAGCTGGAGATAAAACATGGCTTGAGACAGCCTGGTTCAGCCGAGCAGCTGTGGGATTCATGTTTATTTCTCCATACATGCTTGGTTGCTTTGCCATGGAAACCTCTCCGTGGAGAACTGGCTGTGAATAAACACGTGCAAATGCAAATTATGAGGTCCTGGTCTAGGAAACTGCCACTGCTTCGTGGGTGAACTCCGATGGGCTGCAGCTTAGCTGTGGAGACACTATCAGAGCAGCCCCTTACTGCAGTGACCGGTGAAGGACTCTGCCGGCGCACAGTGGTGTGCATCCAGCTCCAGAGCTGTGAAGCATCCCAGTGCCCCCCTACAGATGAGATGCTTGCTCAAGGAGCAGGCCCGGCGGCCCCAAATCCAGAGGAAGCTATTTTCATAAAAGCTGAGTTCACAAACCAGAGAGGATGACACAACCCAAATGAGCCTTTCCTTGTGCTGAATAGGAAAGCTCAGGGCTCTCGAAGGGGATTAAAGGGAGGAGATGTAATTCAGGTCTCCGCACTGATGCCCAGAGGGACCAGCTTTGTCGCGCTCCTAAATCAGGGGATGCCTGCCCTGCAGAAAGACTGTGTCTCCTGCTAGATAACACAGCAGGGCAGGTGAATCCCTGTCATACTGAACACCCTCCTCAGTACCATACTTGCAGGGCTGTAACCTCAGCTACTTAAAGCAGAACATACCCCTCAGTATCTCCACCACTTGCAGTTTCCCAGCCTCCCTCCCTCTCCGTGCAGGACGCAGATGGTCAGCCTGCGATGAGATCCACGTCATGGAGCAAGGAGCAAGCTGCAGGTGCACGGGGTGCTATCACAGCCCCTTCCCCACCCCTGACCTCTCACCAGGTGATCAGCCTCACAATAGATCTCAAAGCGAGACATTTAAGCACACTTTTCAAAAGTAGTCTTCTGGACCGAGAGGTCGTCGGGTGTAAAGCGACGCCACACCTCCCCAACAACTTTTTTTTCCCAGGCTTTATACAATACCACCATCAAACCCTCCTCCTCCTGGGGTTGCTTGAACCCTTTTCAGATCCACAGTCAGAGTGGCAAGGCAGGAGACAGAAAACTCTGCTGACAGCAGCTTCCCCTGTCAGCAGGCCGTTCCCCACCTGGCACAGCACAACCTCTCGCATGATCCCAGGGCCACCAGCAGCACCCCCGTTTAAAATGCCAGCGAGCACTGTCGGGGAGGTCTGTTGGGGTCAGGTGGGCAGCAGAGCTCTAGCAGAGCCAGCCCGCAGAGCCCAGCACATGTGGGGATGCCAAGCAGCACCACAGGTAATGAGGCCATTGATGCCAGCTAGCGGAGGGAAGAAGGAACAGGCCAGACCTTTTCAGCTATTCAAACAGAAACTGGACACTTGTCGCTGACCTACTGAACCGGACAACACCTTCCTCGCTCCTCCATCCTGTGTTTTACCCCAGGTTCTGACCACAAAACCCAGGGTAATCATCTTAGCATGCTCCAGGCAGCAATATGCCGAGCAGCGAGGCCGCTGCAAGCCTCTCTCGCTCCTGTGGCTCTGTCTAAACAGCTGGTAATCATTTCGTGGAGGTGAGGATGCAGAAAGCAGCTGGAAGCACAGTCTTGTCTGATCTATTTTTATTTCACACACTTCAAAACCTGTCAAGGCCCTTCTCTTCTGCACTGCCAAGGCTCTTTTTTCAACTTACAACTCATTCCTCATCACAAGTGCTTGGAAGTTAAAGGAGTTTGTTTAGGGCAGGCTGACAGGCTGCTTAGAGGACGGCTGATGACAGGTGCCGAAATATAAATTTTTTCATCTTAAGAAAGCAAACAAGAGAGGATTAAAGATTTGCCTTTAGAGATGGCTCTGTCCACCACCAGCTCACGTTTGTTTCACAGCCAAGAAGAGGCAGTGGTGTGTCTCAGCACAGGCTCTTATCGCTGCACTATCTCGACAGCACAGCAGCTATAACAGCCTTCCAGGGCAGCTGGCAGACAGCCCAGCCCCCCAGCTCCCAGCATTTGGGGACGATTATCAATGGACAAGAGAATCTGTTTTGCAGTTTACTGGCATTAAACAAGTTGCACTTGAAATAGATGCAATAGCTGGCTTGAGGCTACCAAGAGGTAGTTCACAGAACAAAACAGACCGGAACACTCTTAGCTGAGGCCAGCGCTCCGGGAAGCCATGACTGCATCTTGATCTACTTTGAGACACTAAGTACTCGATTATGAATCTCTTCTGTTCCTGACTTGA